GCTGACTGCCGCCCTCTCTCTCTCTCTCTCTCTCTCTCTCTCTCTCTCTCTCTCTCTCTCTCTCTCTCGTTCTTCCCCCCCTTCCCGCCGCGGCTGTTTGTTTCAGGCTGTTACTTTTCATTTTCGTCGTCGTTTTTTTTTTTTTTGCCCCCGTTTTTTGGGGACTACCGGTCGCACGCCGGTGGGTACCCCGCGCCGCGTCGATTTCTTCAAGCAGGGAGAGGTACTGGTGGTTTAAATCACCGGTTTGGAAAGGGATTCTTGCTGCATGGAGTCGGGTCATGCCATCCTCGCTGGGTCCACCAGGAAGCAGAGAAGAGGTGCTGGCCCAAAGGATTTTTGAAAACCCAGTTTGGCGGACGAATTTGGCATCCCATGGTCGGCCGCGGACTCCCCAGGGCACTTCGGCAAGTCTTGGGTGCAAAGGGGAGTGTCCCGAATTGCTGATCTATGGGATGCAGAATTAATGCAAGGGAGATCTCCATTAGAACTCCGAACGAAACTGCACCATCTGCGGGAAGTACGGAAAGGGTACAGATGGTTATTGACATCATTCCTGACAGCTGGAAGAACATCCTGAGAGCCCCCCTACAGGGCAATTGGGTTCGGTACGTGGATGACAAAGGGAAAATCTGTTTTGCCAAAGTGGAGGTGCTTCTGGATAATCAAGATGCAGTGACCAAACCTTGCTCTTTGATGACGGTGCAGGGAGGCTCTACATCTCAAATACTGCATTCAGGGGAGCAAGTAGTCAACCTGAATTCCAAAGCAGGGTCCATAGTTGTTATAACTAAAATAACTGACAAAAAAACATCATCTACGACTGCCCAGTTGGCACAGAGCCCGCTCATAAACTGGCCGTGTTGCCTCTACACACTGGGTGGAGATCAGCGGACTCTTCACATGTAACGAGCCTGCTGGATTACAAACCCAATGTGGGATATAAGGCACAGGTCAAAACGTCTTCCACCCTATTGGAAGTGAAGAACAAGTGGATGATGGAAACAGCAAAAAGGTCGTCCGCAGTTTCTGAAGTCACGGCAACCTCCTTGAGGGGGATGTGGACGAGCCTTCGGTCAATATCCTCAGCTAAATTTCGTAGCCTAGCGTGGCTTCAATCTCATAGAGCTGTGCCAACGGCAAAGTGGCTGTCAGAAAATAGAATGGAATCAGTATGCTGTAGATGCAAGAAAAAAGAAGAAACAGCAACACATCTATGGTGGGAATTTGCAGAGTCAAAAAGGATTTGGGCATGGTGGGAGAGATTATGGAACAAGTATGTGGGGGTCAAGTTTGGGTGGGATGAACGCTTTGTGGTTGAAGGAGTAGTGGCCAATGCAGGTGAGATAGGGAAGCGATGGTGCTATGTGACACTGGCCTGCAGGGCAGCTATAATGTATGCCATTTGGTCATTCAGAAACGATCGGCTCTTCGGTAACAAGTTCCATTCAGACTGGGCAGTTATGAACCTCATACTCGCGAATATCAGAGCACTCATGTGGTCAGATTGGAGGAAAGCCAACTGGCCAAGCACAAGAGGAGTGCCAGGATGTGTTTTTTCAGTTCATGGGGAAACAAAATGAGCTTGCTGAAATCGACTGCACATGGGATACACATAGAGCCTTGGCTAATGGGCCCACGACCCCCGTGAAATGCAGGCTTCTGTTTGGTCGCTTGGCCCATTTGAGTAACCCAGGCAGTCTATCTATTTTGTTCATAATTAAATTCTTGAATCATTTTGAATCCTCGGTAGAATCTTAGCATTTAACTCAATACTCATATAAGTAGTATAGCAAAGTCTGTTGGGCTAGTGGAACACGCATTTCAGGCGCCCCTGGGTGAAGAGGCCAGTTAGGTTGTTGTATTCGAAGACTATATTACGATGAATGGGACGCTGGACCCGGTTTCCAGCAGGTGCAGCTCCCCACGAATAGAATGGAGCCATCGTACCTAGGCCCTCTTCTATCTTCAGGGGCTCATACCACCCTGGAGGCAGAAAACTGGGCTCAAACCGATGTTGAACTACAAAAAAAAAAAAAAAAAAAAAAAAAAAAAAAGAGAAATGGACGTGTCCTTCGTGTCATACACACTTCCCTTGTGATCAGGGCAGTCATCCTTTTTTGACACCAGCTGCTACAACCCTCCTACCGTCTTCCCCCGACGACACGACACGAATAAGGATATGGGACTTGCTTCACCACACAACACTCCACATGCAACTTTGTGGAGCTATGCCCCCCCATGTCTTATCTTATCTTATCTGCCATCCAATCTGTCAAAAACCCCATGTCTTATCTTATCTGTCATTAAATCTGCTAAATAACCCACTGTATTTCGAGCCGCCGGGCCTATGTAGGTCAGCTGGTACACCCATGAACCGTCGAAATACAGACCCTACTTTGATTGAATCCAGATGGAACCAAATGGATGAAATTATGAATTACCTGGGGCAGGACAGTTCGACAATGATATCTCATGGCCGTCGACCTTACCCAAAAAAAAAGAAGGGGAAATTGCAGGCATAGCGCGTTTTCGACGTTTCGCAACAGAAATGTTGTACGGGTCGGAGAGATGTATTTTTGCAAGGAAAGTGGGACCCCGCCTGCAAATATTTTTGTTGTGAAACTACCAGGGGCTCTGTCCCACCTGTGCCTTTCCGTTGTAGGAGGCTGCCACGAAGCCACTGGCGGGTGTCTAGGGACCATCGATTCTGTCAATCCATGGTCCTTGGGCGCCGGCCATTCTCTTCGTGGTAGCCTCCCACAACTAAAATGTGCAGGTGGGACCGAGCCCCGGGACCTCTAAAGCTGAAACGACGGATATATTTTTTGCAATGAAACTTGGGCTGCGCCGATATTTTTACTGTGAAACTAGCGCTATTTTGAAACTCACCAACAAGAAGAAGAAGAACGGTGGTCACACTTGATACTGTTTGTTTTCTGAGACGGTTACCCAAAGAGTTAATGATCATCGATGGAAATCTCACGAAATGGGCCTAAATGTGCAAATGAGAATGAATCTTCCCCCAGAACATGGAAATGGACACCGCCATATTTTTTGTCTTTTGTGCATGTAGTGAGTAGTGGATTGAGTCCCAATCATCAGATTCGTCCTTTTGAAATGTCGTTCGTTGTTCCTGCTTGTGTCATTTCATCTTCTTATCCGCGTGCTTATCCATAACCTTATCCTTATTCTTTCTTATTTTTATTTTTTTGAACCCGAAAAGAAGGAACTTAATTCTTATCCTCAGGGGAAGACACGCATGACATGCACATTTGCACCAAAAAGGTGAAGTACAGAGCCATTCTGTGAAGAAACTCTTACACCAATGGACATGACACGCCACACAAGACACTTGACATTGCCCATCATTGGTGGAGCGCAAGGGTCCTAGCAATGCATCACAACCACACTGGTTGCACACCTCCACTCCCCTCCATGCCCGACACTCTGTTGTCTTAGAAAAGATCACACACACACACACGCACACACACACACACACACACACACAAACACACACAGAGAGAGAGAGAGAGAGAGAGAGAGAGAGAGAGAGAGAGAGAGAGAGAGAGAGAGAGATGTCATCAAACGAGGGGCTGTGACAGACAGTTCCGCGGGAGTTTCACAGACTCATATACATCCCCTTTCTATTCGAGAGATGCGTCATCCCAGTTAAGCACCTGGACTTTTTTTTACCTTGTCTTTCGGGTTTACATTTGCAAAGAATGGGTCAACCCTAACTTCAAAGTTTCTTCTGTCCTAACAAGCCGATCAAAATATGCCCACATCTGCTTCTTCAAGAAGAAAAAAAAAAATTGCCCGCGCCAGCTGTCAAGGCTGCAGGCACGCTAGCTGTCAAGGCTTTGAACACGCGAGCTGGCACGCCTACGAGCAGGCCAGCTGTCACGCCTGCCAGCATGACAGTTGCCACGCCTGCGATCACGCTAGCTGTCACGTCCGTGACCACGCCAGCTGTCACGCCTGAGAGCATGCCAGCTGTCACGTCCGCGAGCACGCCAGCTGTCATGCCTGTGAGCACGCCAGCTGTCACGTCCGCCAGCTGTCATGCCTGCGAGCACGCCAGCTGTCATGCCTGCGAGCACGCCAGCTGTCACGCCTGCGAGCATGCCAGCTGTCACGCCTGCCGCACGCCAGCTGTCAAACCTGCGAGCATCACAGCTGTCAAACCTGCTAGCAAGCCAACTGTCACGCCTGCACGCAATCTGTCACGCCTGCGAGCACGCCAGCTGTCAAGCCTGCGAGCACGCCAGCTGTCACGCCTGCCAGCACGCCGCTGCGAGCACGCCAGCTCTCACGCCTGCGAGCATGCCAGCTTCAACTCTGCGACCATGCTCGCTGTCACGCCTGCCAGCGGGCCAACTGTCGCGACTGCGAGCATGACAGCTTCAAACCTGCAAGCAGGTCAGCTGTCAAAGCTGCTGCGTGCAAACACCAACAGTCAAAACTGCTGCTTGCAGACACAGGCTGTCGAAGCTGGTGCGTGCACGCGGAAGTTATCAAAGCTACGAGCACGACCGGTGTCAGCGATCTACGTGGCAGCAACTTTTTTGTACTTAGAATTTGGGCTATTTCTCGGTCTATGCGTGCCATCCTTGAATGTTTTAGGCCATCCTCATTACTCCTCTCCTCCGTATCGTTCCATATATATACATATTTTTTCTTTTCTTTTAATGTAGTCCGATGGACCACGGATCAGATATTAGACTGATCAGAAGAACAAATACTACACTTTATCTTAGCCAAAAGGTCGAGAAAGGTATGTCGTTCCAATTTTAATGGATGTCCAGAAAGGCACCGCGACAGGGGTGGTGGGGCTCAGGAGGGGAGGCATTAATCCAAGAGGCCATCCTCTTCTTAATGCTTCCCACCCTGAGAGCCCCAGCACCCGTCTCCCACCCTCAGTCCCTCCCCCAGGCCTCCTCCCTCTCCTTCACAAATGAAAGAAGACGAGGAGAAAGAAAAAGGAAGGCATCGCTCACCTTTTCCACTAACAGGAGGATGTCGAGAACACCAGAACATCAGCAGAAGGAATAGGACCCAAAACCAGCGCCAATCTGAGCGGGCCATCTTGATTTGATTTGATTTGATTGGATTGGATTGGATTGGATTCGATTCGATTTGGGCCGTTGATCCGTCTCAAGTCAACAATCCAATCCACATTCCAATTCTCCTAATCCGCATTTCACAAATCTCGCAGTTCTGCGCGTGCATGTAACTGCTTGAGTCAACGCCGTACTGCAGCAAATGCTTTATCGTTGACGTCCCGCTCAACCGTTGATCGTTGACTTTTCCGTGACAGATTGAGTTCGAAGACCACAACGCTTTGTTTGTTCGTTGACTTTTCCTCTCCGCTGATTAGCTGACTGAAGCTGAAGTCAACCCAGCCGTTACACCTGTGGGTTCCAAAAATGCGTGCATCGCTACTAGATGTGCTCGCGATCCCGCTCCCTCCGTTCCCTCCATTCGCCACGTGTCTTCTCCTCAAAGACGCAGACAAATACTTCCCTCCCTTCGCCGCATGTCTCCTCCTCACATATATGCATCTACTTATATACACACATATTTATATGTATATATGTACGTCTAATCTATGTACATATATTAAGAAGAGAACACACGGTCAGCTTCAAAAACCGGTCAGCGACATGCAGGCCAACAATTAAGCTTCCCTTCGATGAATCACTTTGTGAGGCATTCTCGCCCTTAGATCGATCAGAACTTGGGCCAATCACAAGGCGAGGCATCCTGACCGTCCGATTGAACAGCGAAAGGGATAGATTGAGTAATGATGACCGGGAGGAGGTGGGAGAAGAGGAGGCGGAAAACGCCGCGGTCTCGCCATCATCGTAAGGCGAAACTCAGATCGGGTCCTCTGCGAGGATCTGGACGGAACTGCCGTCAGATGCATCCCAGAAAGTCCTAGTCTAAATATGCCCACCGACGGTTTTAGCCTCTTTCTCATCCACTACAACTTCTCAGTGCGAGCCACCGACCAACCGCGCGAGGAAGAGAGCGACAGAGGGCGAGAGAGAGAGAAGGAGAGAGGAGGGACTCCGTGTATAGCGCAGTGAAGGAGGGAGGGGGAGGAAGGTCAAACACTAGCGGTTCTCCTCTTCGTCCTCCTCCCCCTCTCCTCCTTCGCAGTGTATTCCTGAGGACGTGGTCTTCCCTTGTTTATTCATGCCCTCCAGTTTCAATGCCGAGCTGACGCCGATGGAATCACGTGAAATTCTTAGCGCGGGACAGGAAAGGACTGCGAGCTGACGCCAATGGAATCAGGTGAAATTCTTAGCGCGGGACAGGTAAGGACCGCGCCTTGAGGACAGGTTCGACTTTTGTGGTTCGAGGTCGGGGTCTGTCCGCAATAGGGCCTCGTTCCACCACCCTTGAGAAAAACCTCAAGGGCGGCCCTACACCCCCCGTTGATCCTGATCCTCGTTAAAAAATCGTAGATTTCATTCTCTTTCCACTACACCCTATCGACTTACCGTGAGGGCACGGGTGCGCAGCCCGTAGTTCGTTTGTGTTCGGGAAGGGTAAGGTAGTGATTATGCTGTATGTATGTTTTGTCATGTTCGCTATACACAACTCGAAGAGTGTGTGTGTGGGGTGCCGGTTGGTGCTTTATTCATGATGTTCATGGGAYGCTGRACCCAGTTTCCAGCAGGTGGCGCTCCCCATCAATAGACAGGAGAATGTATGTGTGTGTGTGTGTGTGTGTGTGTGTGTGTGTGTGTGTGTGTGTGTGTGAGAG